CAGGAACTATCCTGGAGTTCTGGTAATGGAAACAGGGCTAATGTGACATAGATCTGTGAGGATTTTAAAATCCCAGAGTTTCACCGTCTTATTTTCTATCAAGCTAATGCAGGAGATAGGTGTAGGAGACTACTTTCATGTTCAGCCTGCATGAAAAACTCTTTGAGTGACTGAATATAATCAGAAATAAGCATTTTTCTGTGCTTCACACCTTTAAGCAATTTTTGTCAGCTTGGGTCTTGTTCTTTCCCCGTAAGCATGAAGAAAATGTAGCCGTGGTTGAATCCTAAACATGCGTACATGTTGCACCTCACAGCTTGACCTCCGGACTCCTGATGCATTCGTGATTTTTATGTTTCGTTCAGCTGGACGTCATCATCGCTGACCTGGATGGAGGAACAATAAAGATTCCTGAGTGCATCCACTTGTCCCTGCTCCCTGAACCTCTCTTACACCAAACACAGTCCACTCTGTCCCTGGTAAACACACACACACACCACTAGAATAGTGACTACAAAACTAATTTCAGGTTGTTGATGCCCTGTGCATGCGTGGGTTCTCTCCGGGTACTCCGGCTTCCTCCCACAGTCCAAAAACATGACTGTTAATTGGTCTGTCTAAATTGTCCTTAGGTGTGAGTGTGTGTGTGTGCGTGTGCATGATTGTTTGTCATGTGTGTCTCTGTGTTGCCCTTCGATGGACTGGCTCTCTGTCCAGGGTGTACCCCGCCTGATTGCCCGTTGACCATTGGAGATCCCTCCCCCTCCCCCCCCCCCCCCCTCCCCCCCACGGCCCTACGTGGACAAGCGGGTTCAGAAAAAGGATGGATGATGCTTTTTAAATATCAATTTCCGTCTCACATTTCTGTCTTTTTGAAGTTGCTAAAATGAAATAAGTCATCTGGAGATATCTTTTGTTTTCTCTCCCCAAGGTTTTGCACCCAGATTTAGAAATCGCTGACAATGCATTCCCGCCACCTCGCACGGCGCCTTCCAACCCCAAGCTGTTGGTAAGTGCTCATCATTGTGCCCTCCCTTCAGTAATGATTCAATGTGTTATTGTAGGGAGTGATGCTTTACAGGAGGAGGGCAGGCTGTTCTCCTCAGAAATAGTTTCTTATCAGAGAAAAGGTCAGCGTAGAACCGGGGACCGTGGCAGTGACCCATTAACCTGCAGATAAAAAGCATGCCTTTTGCATAATTAACCTATCAGACTGCATTTGTGGCATAGCTATTTGATGATTAATGTTGCTGCGTGTGTGTGTGTGTGTGTGTGTGTGTGTGTGTGTGTGTGTGTGTGTGTGTGTGTGTGTGTGTGTGTGTGTGTGTGTGTGTGTGTGTGTGTGTGTGTGTGTGTGCGTGCGTGTGTGTGTGTGTGTGTGTGTGTGTGCATGCGTGCGTGCGTGTGTGTGTGTGTGTGTGTGTGTGTGTGTGCATGCGTGCGTGCGTGTGTGTGCGTGCGCGCGCGCGCACCAGGACAAGGAGGTGAGGGCCGTCTTTCTCAGGCTGTTTGCACAACTCTTCCAGGGCTACAGGTCTTGCCTGCAGCTCATCCGCATCCATTCCGAACCTGTTATTCACTTTCACAAGGTAAGAAGAACACATGTTTTGCAAGAAAATAAATAAAAGTTTTTTAGTCGAACTTTCCACCTCTTCACCTTTGGTTAAACTTCCTAAGCAATCCCTTCTCAGCAAACACATTGTTCCTTTAAACTGCCAAGAATGTTTTCTCCAGCAGTGCGGATGCAATCGCACTTAAACTTTGATAGATAAACCTGTCAGGGATGTATTGTGTGTGTGTGTGCATGTGTGTGTGTGTGTGTGTTGTTTTGAATGTGACTCTCGATCGTTTTGTTTGTGCATGTTTTGCACAGAGAAGCTCAACCTTACACAAAGGGCAGCGTATGAAACGCGTTAGGTTGAAGTTTTTGTGTCGTGTCTTTTGTTTGTTCATGTCTGTGGTGTCTCCGTGGTAACCCATTAGCACGTCATCTCAAAAGGACCCCACATGGATTGCATTATCAACAAAAGCTTTGTCTGGAATCCCTGAGTGGGGAAAGCATGAGTGAAATGCGTTTTATCTCCTCTACCCACAAGCACAAACAGTCTCACAAGTAAATTAAATTCATTTGCATGGATTCATTTGTGACTGGATTTGCTTCCCTTTCTTGTTCATTCTGACTGACTTGTCCGTGTGTTTGTCACAATCAAAAGGGCCCCCTGCAGAGATATTTCTGATCATATTCTAAAAGCTCCAGTCATCATGTGCTTGTTGTCTTTTAGTCTGCAGTAAATAATATCCACATGAAGCATCTGTGCTGAATTGTAATCGCTCTAATTCCGACATTATCCAGACTGCCTTCTTGGGCCAACGAGGCCTCATAGAGAACGACTTCCTCACCAAGGTTTTGGATGGCATGGCCTTCGCTGGCTTCGTCTCAGAGAGAGGTCCACCTTACCGAGCTTGTGATCTCTTTGATGAGGTATGAACCCCCCCAGCTGTAAACACACTCTAGAGAGGATAAACAAGGGATATGAACAGAGCGGGACTCCAAACTGCTTTAACATGTAGACACTTGGTGTGTTTAACAAGCTCAGCCTCAGTTATGACCACCTCTAGCCAATTTTAGTGCCATGCACTTGTTTTGATGCTCTCCTCAAAACTTTATCATGAACTGAATTCTCATTTAAAATGTGTGAAATAAAAAAATGTTGTACCATTGTTTTAAATTTAGCATCATACCATCTTTATTTATAAAGCACATTTAAAAACGGCATGGCAGCCGACCAAAGTGCTGTACAGAATAAAAAGTAAAAACACAATATAAAACAATACACAGTCAACAATAAAATGCACAACAAGGCAGATAATTACAGTCAATAAAAGACACATAATAAAATAATAAAAGTCAGGGATTTAAAAATGCCTGGTCGTAAAAGTGAGCCTTCAGCAGCGATTTGACCCGGAGGAGCGGATTGAGTGCCAGCCTCACCGAAAGAGGAAGTGCATTCCATAATGTCGGAGCAGCATAGACAAAAGCACGCTGCCCCCGCGTTTTGTATTTCATTAATGGAACACGAAGCAGCAGGCAATCAGTTTTTTTCTCTAGGGATTTTGCTTTTATGTTTGGTTTTTAATACGGTAATCAAAGAAACAGACTCCATGTTAAACTTTTAAAGTCATTTTTGTCTAAATTTAATGCCTCGGACTTTAATTAGCTGCTTAGGTTGGGGATTTTTCACAATAAGAGGCCAGACAATGTAGATCTCCTACCTCTGCAAGCATCTGATCGTACAGGTTTTGTCCTAAGGTCTAACTTCTGTTATTCATTCTAATGAAACAACCTGCTCTTGTGCAGAGCTATCAGAAATCTTCAAATGTAACTAAAATATTTACAGAAAACCTTTTCTTTGGTTTGTCATGATGAAATGAAAGTTAATAGAAAAAGTTAATAGAATTGGATCGATGCCTGTCGAATCATGAAAAATCTGTAAAGCAACAACTTTCTTGTGCAATTCTACATGCAAAATATATAAATGGAGCCCCTTATTTGTTGCAATGGTCCATAGTTGTAATGGTCACCCGCATCCTCGTCACAAAATTAAGTTATAAAATGTTTGTCTAAATAATCCTGTTGCATTTTTCAACCTGTTGCAGATATCAAAGAGGTTAAAATAACTGTGCAGTAATAATACATTATCGTTGTTGGTCTGTTTTCTTTTTATCATTTTTATTATATTTTGTTTTATTTTCACACAAACTAAAATATTTAATCATTTTTCCTGAATTTAGGCCTTTGATGCCTGATTGAAGTTCTGTTGTACCGTCACACGTGGTAGCAATAATAAACAAAGATGCAAACCAGTGTTCCTGTAAAACTTTACATAATCCGAGTGAACTCTCTTGAATACCTTGTAGCTGGTGGCGTTGGACTGTGACAGCTTTAAGGAAGAGGAGGTCAACCCTTCCAAGTTGCAGAAGCACATCAGGGAGCTTTCAGAGCAGCTCTACAGAAATGTAAGAGTTACTTTTTCTCTGTTGCGCTTTTCTCATCTTAGCAAACCTCTGCAAACATGTTATTCTGCATCCCACCTTATATAAATACAGCTTTTTGTTGCATTAATACAAATTGCTTCCTCGTGTGCCGCCTGTAGGAAAATCCGAACCCACACATGGCATTCCAGAAAGTGCCTCGGCCGTCTGAAGGGTCCCACTTGCGAATGCACCAGGTTCCCTTCCCCTTGCTCGATGACGTAAAGGTGGAGAAGATGCTGCAGGATGGTGTTGCGAAACAGAGCACTGCGCCTGTTTCCACACGGCCTGAGAAGAAGTGCGTTGTTCCCGCAGGACCACTTGTTGGTATGACCTGTCTAAACTCCCATAGAATCCCAGGATTCGTTTGGATGCGAGTGTATGACTGGAGATGTTTGCACAGCTGCTGTTTGCTTCTAATCTGCAGTCATCTCTGTGTTTTAGTGTCGATTACGGGTAAGAGCGGCTCCGTGTTTAACAGCGCTCGCAGGCTGGAGGTGGTGAGGAGCTGCATCTCCTTCATCTTTGACGGCAACACCCTGGAGACTGAGAAGGTGATGCTTGCGGTCTTTAATCAGAGGAGCTAATCAGCCACTAAACTAGCTCATGAACCAAAGGCAGAGCTACGCCGCTCCAACAAACAGCCGCAGAGCTTCAAATGTCCATCATTTTAATGTCTCCCAGCTGGAAAACGCAGACACTCGGGTCACTGGATGTATATCCATACTTCCCAAGGACCAAAGAATGTTTTTATGTTAAAGTTTCTGTCACTTGTGTAAATTGTTGCAAATGTTTACATGAGGATCTTTCAGTAGATTGTTCTTCAAAACGAGGTTGAAGGTGAGCCATCTGCCCGATCTGGATCCAGGGTGTTTAGCACGAGACGGCTGCCAGCTATTTTATGAATCCCTCTTGTTTCATAGAGCTGTTATATAATCCAGGCCTGCACCTTTATGCACAATGTAAGAATGCATAGCAGTCGTCCTCTCAATCCCTGATGAGCCTGGAAATCCATAAAAGCCAAATGGTCAAAAGAACAGTAGGTCAGCAAAGCCAGGATCCCGATCATGTTCCAACCGAACATCTGCTGCCCCAGAAAACTAGTTATCTCCTGCTTTTGAAAACATTTAACTCAAATTTTCTTCTTATTTTGTTGCTGTTACCTAATTTTCTGGTGTTTGACTTTTTTTTTTTTCAAATCCCTCTTTGTTGGTTTTGATCCCAACAGACCTTACCTGCTGCACTGCGAGCCCTGAAAGGCAAAGCTGCCCGTCAGTGTCTGACTGATGAACTGAGTCTTCACGTTCAGCAGAACCGAGCCATACTGGACCACAAACAGTTTGACTACGTCATTAGGATGATGAACTGTGCCATTCAGGTGGGTGATCCGATGGATGATAAAGTTTCTCATAAAGCTTTTGAGTAAATGTTTACTGTAAATCATCACTAATACGAGATGCTTGAAAATCTTCAAACTCCGTTTGAAAGTGCTTGAAAGGTCCTTGAATTGTATTAAAGTAAAAGGACAATTGGTGAATTTAAATGTAGGATAGAGGATCTTGGAAAATTCACTTCAAAGGTCCAGCCCTCTTTCCTCAGGGTCCACCTCATAGCCACGCCTCCAGAACACAGGAGAACACCACACGCAACCGACACTGTCAAACAACTCAAAAACATAACGTTTTTATCTACATGTTATAATTTCTAACGTAACGCACCCACATAACAGCCGAGGAGCCTCCTGGCTTTGGACGTCACATAGTCCGGTGCCGGTCAGGAGTGGTCGATAAGTCAGAAGAATCGCCCTCTTTTCTCACCTGTAGCTCGAACCAATTGGGATGCAGTTGATTGATGCATCAATTAGCAAATGCAATTCAGAAAACCACAATCTGACTAACTGACTGATTAAGAATGATTGTGATTGGTGGAGCACTCCATGATCTGTGGATCAGACCCATAAAATGTTGAAACGTGTTTGAATATATCACCCTCATCACCGTTTGGACTGAAGAATATTGATTGGGAAAGTTTAACCCAACTTTTAGTACCTACTGAACGTTTAAGACAACAAAGCCACTGGGACCTAGATTGAAGATACAGCGGGGATGATTGGGTTTGTTACACTTGCTACATAACCATATAACAATGTCGTATGCTAGCTAACCAGCTGAGTGACCAAGTGGTATGAGTTTCTGCCCTGAGACTGGGAGATTGTGGGTTTAAATCCATAGTCGGCTCATACCAAAGACTCTTAAAAATGGGACCCAATGCCACCCCGCTTGATGCGCAACGTTAAGGGGGTTAGATTGGTGGGCCACATGGATCCGGATCACAGCAGTGTCTGCAGCTCAATGCTCCCCAGGGTCAAATGCGGAGAACAAATTACACCACAAACCATATGAAACTTAATCTTTAATAAAGCTACTCATGCCCTGGCTTTGATTAAAGCTGTTATAACGAAGCTGTAAACTAGCTAGGTTTTTAATACTAATATGGTCACATAACAATCACCGCTCCCCTCAGGTATCTTCCCTGCATCTGGATCCACCGGAACTTGCGTTGCCAGAAAAAACGAGATAGTGCTAAGAACCAGCCAACGTTTTTTAGGTCCAAACATTTTCTGTTGTCCATGAATTCAAATGGTGTTTTTCTTTTTGGGACTCTGGTAGTTTGTTCTAAATTTTAAGTGGTAGCAGCCGGCTGTTCCTCCTTTTCTGATGTTGTTGACCGGAGAACCTCTCACACCGGTGGTGTTCTGATTCTAAATACGCGTGCGTGATGAGTGGAGGACCCAAGTGCAAAAGCGAGGTGGTTTAGCGAGACAGACAACCGAATGGTGCGATTTTGGCTTTTGGCCCGAAACGTGTTATTAGCGGATGTTTTTATACAAATGCGAAAAAGACACTTTATTGATCTTTCTAATTTTTTTTATCTCCACAATATATTTAGAGCTATACTATGTTATAACATTCTTTAAGAGGCATGAAAAAATGTTTCAGGCTCATTTGTTTTCTAAATTTGTTATAACAGCTTTAATGTTCAGCTGCCCAGAGCCAAAAACGCGCATTTTGTGTACAAAATGAGAGTATGTTCGGGGGGGGGGGGGGGGGGGGGGGGGGGGTGCTGAGGGGGAAGTTTGATGGATGGATCAGAATGCAATCTTTAAGAACGGAACGTTCTCAAGGATTGGGTGAGGTTTTGTTTTTTTTTTTTTACAAAATTTTATGTTTCACAGGCAAATAAAATTATTCTTTTCTTTAAAAAAAATTTAAATTATTATGTTTATAAGCATTTTATTGCAACTGCGGTGGTCTATAGTGAGACTAAATGTCTTATAGGTCCAAAAGCTCCAGTGCACCTGTTTCAGCATGGAGAAGTCAGCGAGAGGAGAAAGTAGCTTCAGACGACAGGGTTTGGAGTCGTATTTCCTGATATTTGGACATCTCATCTTGGATTGGATAACAGCTACCACTGTCTCCATTAGCTTTGCAGTCTTAATGTTTTATCTCCACAATTAGCGCAAGGTTGAAGGAGTTCTGCTGTGTGGTGGAGTTTATGCTAACGGTTAGCTTCTACTAGCCGAGACATTCTTTTCTGTTTCCTGGAAGCTAAACCAACAGCAGCCTTACCTGTCACGAGTTAGATGGGTGCGTCCATGAATGTTAAGTGACAGTGTGACATAGTTCTGTCAGCATTTTCAATTCCTGGCCTGGAGGGCCGGTATCCAGCAAATTTTAGTTTTAACTCTGGTTCAACACGCCTGATTTCAATCAGCAGGTGATTAACAGGCTTCTGCAGAGTCTGATGATCTGCTGCACAAGTGAATCAAGTGTGTTGAAACAGAGAAACCTCTAAAACGTGCTGAATACCAGCCCTCTAGGACTGAAATTGAATAACCCTGTCCTGGAGTTTATTTTTATAACAATACCAACACCGCAGCCTTTTGTGCGAAAGCAGCACCTCTTTGTTTATCAGAAATAGTATTTTTATCTTCTTTTTGGCTCCCATGCTGGATCATCCTGCCTAATGTGTGAGTTTTTGTTGTTCTGCAGCTCATAACGAGCCGCTGAAGTTTTACTCACTCAGAGCAGCCTGATCATTATTGGTAGGTAGATATATCGATGTTTTTAAAATATCGATATAATTTTTAAACAAGATGACTTTATATCTTCATATCGATATAACTGGTCAAACTGCTATGCTAGCAATTAACTGCTATCCTAGCGACATGTTGCTCCATCTCTAAGGCTGCTATTACATGTATTCTCACAAGTTAGCTCAATCTGAGAGCCTCTGGGTAAATGTGCTGCTCTAAACTTTGCATTTGGCATCCCGGTTTTTAATTGTTTGGGGACGTTCAACGCCAACAGTTCTGTTTTCCATCCTGCTTGTGCGGAGCTGGAGAGACGAGCTAAACCCCTCCCTGCCCTGTGCAATGGGAAACATCTACGGATAGCCAGAGTGGACAAATTACCTCAAACATATTGTAAGGGTTTGAATAGTAAACAATTGTAATGATTTAAATTACATGTTATTCAATAAGCCATAAGGCGTAGGATTCCATAGGAAATATGAAATCCACCTTACGGATCTGTGAGGTCATTTAAACCAGAAGATTGGAACTTTTTATTGCAGGGATTAGATAACAGCTTCGTATTCACCCAGAGACAACAGAAGAGAGAGAGTCAAGTTTAAAAGTTAAGAATTTTATTACTAACAAATTAAACTAGACTGACTTTAAGCACTAAATGTATAGTGTAACTAAAGTGGATGAGATGGTGAATGGATGACATGTGATGTTGATCAGAACTAGCAAATCCGAAGCTGCGATTAGTTCTGATGGGAACTGAAGGTGTTGTCTTTGCATTAAGCTTTGGTTAGGAGATTCATAAACACATTTGACGCCATTTGCCGGTCTGCCTACCCTTCAGAAAGTCCCCGTTAGATCAGGAATGTCGAGGTCTAGCTTGACCTTCTCTGGAACCGAGCCGGTAGGAAAAGCAGTGGTTGCCGACCAGACCAGTCTGTGAGATACTTCCGGGTCACGACAATTTGTTGGCGTCTGGTGAGACCCAAGCCTGGGTCTTGATGGTTCAGCTTTTATTTTGAAAGGAACCGTTGCAGCAGTTGGAACAAAAACAAATTTTCCAGCTTGTCACTCCGACAACTTCTCTCGAACGCTTTGAACTGGCGTTAGAGATGACGTGGGCATAGTTTTATACTTCGGATGTTATGGTTTGTGGTCGAATGAAAAGTTGACAGGTTTTACCAAACACCATCAAAACCATGCCTCCGTCAGATCTGTCAGATTCTGATAGGATCAGTGAAAGTAATGCGTCATGTCTTTTAACGCTACGTGAAATCAGTCCTGTTGGAACATTTAAAGTCATAGTACCTTTATATTCTATAGGATTATAATAAAGTAATTAATATTTTGATTTCACAGATCGGTCACATCTTATTTATTGATTAACACTTGGTTTGATTAGCTTTATTAAAATAGAGTTCATTGATTAATTAAAAGAAAAGAGTTCATTCTTCATTCTTCTGTTGAGCTGAAAATAAGCAGGTTAGAAGGAATGCATGAGACCTTGAGACCATATCTCATGCAGACTAGTCCTGTGCAGGGGGGGAACAGTCATTTCATTCCATTACACTATAGAGTAAACGTTTTATTTTGAAGGCGAGCTAAACGGGTGAGAAATGTTTTTCCGGTTCCGTTTTTTTCCGCTGTGGTTTGCTATGCTAGTAAATACTCCGTTACGAGCGATTCTGTTGAAAAAGTTGAGTTTAAAAGGCGTGGGTTATGGCGACAGTAGCCCGAAATTAATACTCATAAAAGAGCAACCAGAGACTCTGAGTCATTACAGTGTAATCGCTGATATGAGCCAACACTGTTGGACTCCAGCCATGTTTGCCCTTATAACTAATAACTCCACGGTGCATGACCCGTGTGATCTTCAGTAGATGCAATTACATCATCATAATGATAGATTTTTTTCCTCTGGACAAGAAATAAACGATATGGGCCACCTCTAGATAAAATTTTAATAATTTTACAATAATTATAAATATATAATTAAAAAGTGCCTGTGGGACTTTTGATACACATCTAGCTCTCAACTCTGTGTGTGTGTGTGTGTGTGCGTGCATGCGTGCGTGTGTGTGTATGATGGAAAGCCTTTTAATTCCAGCTTCCGCAAACGCCAAGAACATACAAGTCCATTTGATGTGTCAGTCGTTCCACAATTATACATTAGACACTAAGTGAAGTGTACCGTTTCCATGCAGAAGGATGTAAAAGCTGTAAATTTATGGGTTGTTTTCTTTTTCTTGAGCAGTGTGTGGTGATCTTCATTTCCAGGATCTCTGACGCAT